ATGCCCTTTGGGTTAACTAATGCTCCAAGCACTTTTATGAGATTGATGAACCATGTCTTGAAAGAGTTTTTAGGCAAATGTATAGTGGTCTATTTTGATGATATTCTGATATATAGCACTAATTTTGAATTGCATGTTGAACATTTGTGTGCTGTCATGAATGTGCTTAGAAAGGAAAAATTATTTGCTAATCTTGAAAAATGTACCTTTTGCACTGATCATGTTGTGTTCTTGGGATTTGTTGTGAGTTCTAAAGGGGTACAAGTTGATGAGGAAAAGATTAGAGCCATCCAAGAGTGGCCTACCCCTAAGAATGTGAGTGAAGTGAGAAGCTTTCATGGGTTAGCTAGTTTCTATAGGAGGTTTGTTAAAGATTTTAGTACTTTGGCTACACCTCTTAATGAAATAGTCAAAAAGCATGTTGGGTTTAAATGGGGTGAAAAACAAGAAAAGGCATTTTTTGAACTTAAGCACAATCTATCTAATGCCCCCATCCTTGCATTACCAAATTTTGCAAAATCTTTTGAAATTGAATGTGATGCATCTAATGTGGGTATTGGGGCTGTTTTGCTACAAGAAGGTTATCCAATTGCTTATTTTAGTGAGAAGTTGAATGGGGGTGCCCTAAACTATCCCACCTATGATAAGGAATTGTATGCCTTAGTGCGTGCTTTACAAACTTGGCAGCATTACCTTTTACCAAAAGAGTTTGTAATTCATAGTGATCATGAATCTTTGAAATACTTAAAGGGACAAGGTAAGTTAAACAAGAGGCATGTCAAATGGGTTGAGTTCTTGGAGCAATTTCCATATGTCATCAAGCATAAAAATGGAAAAGGGAATGTAGTAGCTGATGCACTTTCTAGGAGATATGCATTACTTTCTATGCTTGAAACTAAATTGTTTGGTCTTGAATCTTTGAAAGATATGTATGTGAATGATGTGGATTTTGCTGAAACTTTTGCTGCATGTGAAAGGTTTTCTAAAAATGGATACTTTAGGCATAATGGATTCTTGTTTAAAGCAAATAAATTGTGTGTGCCTAAGTGTTCCATTAGAGAGTTGCTTGTGAGTGAATCACATGAAGGGGGTTTGATGGGTCATTTTGGGGTTCAAAAGACTTTAGAAATTTTGCAAGAGCATTTCTTTTGGCCTCATATGAAACATGATGTGAATAAGTTTTTTGATCACTGCATTGTGTGTAAAAAGGCTAAAACTAAGGTTAAGCCTCATGGGTTGTATACTCCTTTACCTGTTCCTGAATATCCTTGGACTGACATTTCTATGGACTTTATTTTAGGGTTGCCTAAAACAAAGAATGGAAAGGATTCTGTGTTTGTTGTTGTTGATAGGTTTTCTAAGATGGCACATTTCATACCTTGCAAGAAGGTAGATGATGCTTGTCATGTGGCTGATTTGTTTTTCAAGGAAGTAGTAAGGCTACATGGGCTGCCGAGGAACATTGTAAGTGATAGGGATTCAAAATTCCATAGTCACTTTTGGAGGACCTTGTGGGGTAAGATTGATACTAAATTATTATTTTCTACTACTTGTCACCCACAAACTGATGGTCAAACTAAGGTAGTCAACAGGACTTTGGGCACATTGCTTAGGACTATTTTAAAAAAAAATCTTAAGACTTGGGAAGCATGTTTACCGCATGTTGAGTTTTCTTATAATAGGGTTATCCATAACACCACTAATTGTTCACCATTTGAGATTGTGTATGGAGTTAATCCTTTGACTCCTCTTGATTTGTTGCCTTTGCCTAACATTTCTATGTTTAAGCATAAGGAAGCACAGGCTAAAGCAGAATATGTGAAGAAGTTGCATGAGCAAGTAAAAGCTCAAATTGAAAAGAAGAATGAGAGCTACGCGAGGCAAGCTAACAAGGGTAGGAAAAAGGTGGTGTTCCAACCTGGTGATTGGGTTTGGGTACACATGAGAAAGGAAAGGTTTCCTGAACAAAGAAAGTCTAAACTTCAACCTAGAGGAGATGGGCCATTCCAAGTCTTAGAGAAGATCAATGATAATGCTTATAAGATTGATCTACCAGGAGAGTATAATGTAAGTTCTTCTTTTAATGTTGCTGACTTGACTCCTTTTGATGCAGGAGATGAATTCATAGATTTGAGGACAAATGTTGCCCAAGAAGGAGGGAATGATGTGGACATAAAGGCCCAAGCCCATAACGAGAAGGATCAAGACCAAGATCCAATCCAAGACTTAGGTGGACCTATGACAAGAGGCAGACTCAGAAAAATACAAGAGGCATTGCAATACAAAGTGACCAATTTGTTAAAGGCCCAACTAAAAGATTTAGTTATTATTATTATTATTATTTTATTTGCTACAGTGGGGATTTGAACCCAAGACCCAAAGCTTATAATGCCTTCACTGAACCATTTAAGCAACTTAACTTTGCTTAGGATAATAGGATTTTAATTTATCTTTATCTCCTACAATGAGACAAACTCATAAACTTAAGTTGTATTAAACATTTGGGAATTCAGAATGAACGTACGTAATATTCAGAATCACTTTGTGAGTTGTTGCTCTGCTAGGGTTGTTCCTTGCATCACTTGATCTTATCAAGAATTATTCGATTCTTGTGGCGATCCTTCTTGGCTTATCAAATATTCTTATTTGTGGCACCTACGGTATCTTTTATGTTTTTCTGTTTTCTATTTCCAATCAAATCAATTCTTAAAACCTAACCCTAAATTGTTTCCCTTCTATTCGAGTGTCGTCATAAGAGTTACTCAAGAGTTACTCAAGATTTACTAAAGAGTTAATAAGAGTTACTCTAAAGTTAATATGAGTTACTGAAGAGTTACTATAAGTTACTAAAGAGTTACTAAAGAGTTACTAAGAGTTACTGAAGAGTTACTGAAGAGTTACTAAGAGTTATTGAAGAGTTACTGAAAAGTTACTAAAACTTACTGAAGAGTTACTAAGAGTTATTGAAGAGTTACTAAAAGTTACTAAAATTTATTAAGAGTTACTAAAAGGTTACTATAGAGTTACAAAAGAGATGCTAAAGAATTACTGAAGAGTTACTAAGAGTTACTGAAGATTTACTAAGAGTTACAAAAGAATTATTAAGAGTTACTAAAGAGTTATTGAAAAGTTACTTAAAGTTACTGAATAGTTACTAAAAGTTACTGAAGAGTTACTAAAAGTTACTAGAGAGTTACTGAAGAGTGACTAAAAGTTAATAAGAGTTCTAAAAAGTTACTAAAGAGTTACTGAAGAGCTGCTAAAGAGTTACTGAAGATTTACTAAGAGTTACTGAAAAGTTACTAAAAGTTACTCAAAGTTACTAAGAGTTACTAAAGAGTTACTGAAGAGTTACTAAGAGTTATTGAAGAGTTACTGAAGAGTTACTAAAAGTCACTAAAAGTTACTAAGAGTTAGTCAAGAGTTACTAAAAGTTACTGAAGAGTTATTGAAAAATTACTGAAAAGTTACTGAAGAGTTACCAAAGAGTTACTTAGAGTTACTGAAGAGTTACTAAGAGTTACTGAAGAGTTACTGAAGAGTTACTAAGACTTAGTGAAGAGTTACGAAGAGTTACTAAAAGGTTACTCAAGAGTTATTTAAGAGTTTTTAGAGAGTTACTAAGAGTTACTGAAGTGTTACTAAGAGTTACTAGGAGTTACTGAAGAGTTACAAAGAGTTACTGAAGATTTACTAAAAGTTACTAAGAGTTACTCAAAAGTTACTAAAGAGTTATTAAGAGTTACTGAAGAGTTACTAAGAGTTATTGAAGAGTTACTAAAAATTACTGAAGAGTTACTAAAAGTTATTGAAGAGTTACTAAGAGTTACTAAAGATTTACTGAAGAGTTACTGAAGACTTACTAAAATTTACTAAAAGTTACCAAGAGTTACTCAAGAGTTACTAAGAGTTACTAAAGATTTACTGAAGAGTTACTAAAGAGTTACAAAGAGTTACTGAAGAGTTACTGAAGAGTTACTAAAAAGTTACTGAAGAGTTACTAAGAGTTACTGAAGAGTTACTATGAGTTACTGAAAAGATACTAAAAGTTACTTAAGAGTTCCTAAGAGTTACTGAAGAGTTACTAAAATGTTACTAAAGAGTTACTGAAAAGTTACTAAAATATACTGAAGAGTTACTAAAGAGCTACTAAGAGTTACTGAAGAGTTACTAAGAGTTACTAAGAGTTACTAAGAGTTATTAATAGTCACTGAAGAGTTACTGAAGAGTTACTAAATGTACTGAAGAATTACTAAGAGTTACTAAAGTGCTACTAAAAGTTACTGAAGAGTTACTAAAGAGGTACTAAGAGTTACTAAAGATTTACTGAAGAGTTACTAAAGAGTTACTGAATAGTTACTAAGAGTTACTAAAGAGTTACTCAAAAGTAACTAAAAGTTACTGACGAGTTATTAAGAGTTACTGAAGAATTACTAAGAGTTACTAAAAGTTACTAATAGTTACTCAAGATTTACTAAAGAGTTACTAAGAGTTACTCTATAGTTACTAAGAGTTACTGAAGAGTTACTATAAGTTACTAAAGAGTTACTGAATAGTTACTGAAGAGTTTCTAAGAGTTATTGAAGAGTTACTGAAAAGTTACTAAACCTTACTGAAGAGTTGCTAAGAGTTACTGAAGAATTACTAAAAGTTACTAAAATTTATTAAGAGTTACTACAAGTTTACTAAAGAGTTACAAAAGAGATGCTAAAGAATTACTGAAGAGTTACTAAGAGTTACTGAAGATTTACTAAGAGTTACTAAAGAATTATTAAGAGTTACTGAAGAGTTACTAAAGGTTACTAAAAGTTATTAAGATTTACTAAAGAGTTATTGAAAAGTTACTAAAAGTTACTGAAGAGTTACTGAAGAGTTACTAAAAGTTACTGGAGAGTTACTGAAGAGTGACTAAAAGTTCTAAAAAGTTACTAAAGAGTTACTGAAGAGCTACTAAAGAGTTACTGAAGAGTTACTGAAGAGTTTCTAAAAGTTACTCAAAGTTACTAAGAGTTACTGAAGAATTATTAAGAGTTACTGAAGAATTATTAAGAGTTACTGAAGAGTTACGAAAAGTCAATAAAAGTTACTAAGATTTACTCAAGAGTTACTAAAAGTTAAGATTTACTCAAGAGTTACTAAAAGTTGCTGAAGAGTTACTAAAAAATTACTGAAAAGTTACTGAAGAGTTACTAAAGAGTTACTTAGAGTTACTGAAGAGTTACTAAGAGTTACTGAAGAGTTACTGAAGAGTTACTAAAAGGTTACTCAAGAGTTATTTAAGAGCTGCTAAAGAGTTACTAAGAGTTACTGAAGTGTTACTAAGAGTTACTGAAGAGTTACTAAGAGTTACTGAAGAGTTACAAAGAGTTACTAAGATTTACTGAGGACTTACTAAAAGTTACTAAGAGTTACTCAAAAGTTACTAAAGAGTTACTAAGAGTTACTGAAGAGTTACTAAAATTTACTGAAGAGTTATTGAAGAGCTACTAAGAGTTATTAATAGTTACTGAAGAGTTACTAAAAGTTACTAAAGTGTTACAAAAAGTTACTGAAAAGTTGCTGAAGAGTTACTAAGAGTTACTAAAGATTTACTGAAGAGTTACTGAAGACTTACTAAAATTTACTAAAAGTTACTAAGAGTAACTCAAGAGTTACTAAGAGTTAGTAAAGATTTACTGAAGAGTTACTAAAGAGTTACTGAAGTGTTACTAAAAGTGACTAAGAGTTACTGAAAAGTTACTGAAGAGTTACGAAAGAGTTACTGAATAGTTACTAAAAGTTACTAATAGTTACTCAAGAGTTACTAAAAGTTACTCAAGAGTTACTAAGAGTTACTGAAGAGTTACTAAAAAGTTACTAAGAGTTATTAAAGAGTTATAGAATTGTTACTAAAACTTACTAAAAAGTTACTAAGAGTTACTGAAGAGTTACTAATGAATTACTAAAAGTTACTAAAAATTACTAAAAAATACTAAAGAGTTAGTAAAGAGTTACAAAGAGTTACTGAAGAGTTACTAATAGTTACTGAAGAGTTACTAAGAATTACTAAAGATTTTCTAAGAGTTACTGAAGAGTTACTAAAAATTACTAGGAGTTACTAAAGAGTTACTGAAAAGTTACTAAAAGTTGCTAAAGAGTTACTTAGAGTACTGAAGAGTTACTAAAAGTTACTGAAGAGTTACTCAAAAGTTACTAAAGAGTTACTAAGAGTTACTGAAGAGTTACTAATAGTTACTAAAGAGTTACTAATAGTTACTGAAGAGTTACTAAGAATTACTAAAGATTTTCTAAGAATTACTGAAGAGTTACTGAAAATTACTAGGAGTTACTAAAGAGTTACTGAAAAGTTACTAAAAGTTGCTAAAGAGTTACTAAGAGTACTGAAGAGTTACTAAAAGTTACTGAAGAGTTACTCAAAAGTTACTAAAGAGTTACTAAGAGTTACTGAAGAGTTACTGAAGAGTGACTAAAAGTTACTAAAAGTAAATAAGAGTTACTAAAAAGTTACTAAAGAGTTAATGAAGAGCTGCTAAAGAGTTACTAAGAGTTACTAAAAGGTTACACAAGAGTTACTGAAGAGCTGCTAAAGAGTTACTAAGAATTACTGAAGAGTTACTAAGAGTTACTCAAGAGTTACAAAAAGTTACTTAGAGTTCCTAAAGAGTTAATGAAAAGTTACTAAAAGTTACTAAAGAGTTACTATGATTTACTGAATAGTTACTGAAGAGTAACTAAAAGTTACTAAAAGTAACTAAGAGTTACTCCAAAGTTACTAAAAGTTACTAAGAGTTAGTCAAGAGATACTAAAGAGTTACTAACAGTTACTGAAGATTTATTGAGGAGTTACTAAAAAGTTACTGAAGAGTTACTAAGAGTTACTGAAAAGTTACTAAAAGTTACTCAACATTTACTAAGAGTTACTGAAGAATTACTAAGAGTTACTGAAGAGTTACTAAAAGTTACTAAGAGTTACTAAAATGTTACTAAAGAGTTACTGAAGAGCTGCTAAAGAGTTAGTGAAGAGTTATTAAGAGTTACTAAAATATACTGAAATTTACTGAAGAGTTACTAATAGTTACTGAAGAGTTACTGAAGAGTTACTAAATGTACTGAAGAGTTCCTAAATTGTTACTAAAATTTATTGAAGAGTTACTAAAGATTTACTGAAGAGTTACTAAAGAGCTACTAAAGAGTTACTAAAAGTTACTAAGAATTACTAAATAGTTACTCAAAAGTTACTAAAAGTTACTCAAGAGTTACTAAAAGTTACTAAGAGTTACTAAAAGTTAATAAGAGATACTAAAGAGTTACTAAAAGTTACTCTAGAGTTACTAAGAGTTACTGAAGAGTTACTGAAAAGTTACTAAAGAGTTACTTAAGAGTTACTAAAGAGTTACTAAGAGTTACTGAATAGTTACTAAAAGTTATTAAGTGTTACTAAAAGGTTACTTAAGAGTTACAAAAGAGATGCTAAAGAATTACTGAAGAGTTACTAAGAGTTACTGAAGATTTACTAAGAGTTACTAAAGAATTACTAAGAGTTACTGATGTTACTAAAAGTTACTAAGAGTTACTAAAGAGTTACTGAAAAGTTACTAAAAGTTACTAAAGAGTTACTAAGAGTTTCTGAAGAGTTACTGAAGATTTACTAAGAGTAACTGAAGAGTTACTAAAAGTTACTAGAGAGTTACTGAAGAGTGACTAAAAGTTATATTAAGAGTTCTAAAAGGTTACTAAAGAGTTACTGAAGAGTTACTAAAAGTTACTCAAAGTTACTAAGAGTTACTAAAGAGTTACTAAAGAGTTAGTAAGAGTTATTGAAGAGTTACTGAAAAGTTACTAAGAGTAACTCAAGAGTTACTAAAAGTTACTGAAGAGTTACTAAAAAATTACTGAAAAGTTACTGAAGAGTTACTAAAGAGTTACTTAGAGTTACTGAAGAGTTACTGAAGAGTTACTAAGGGTTACTGAAGAGTTACTGAAGAGTTACTAAGAGTTACTAAAAGGTTACTCAAGAGTTATTTAAGAGCTGCTAAAGAGTTACTAAGAGTTACTGAAGTGTTACGAAGAGTTACTGAAGAGTTACTAAATGTTACTAAGAATTACTCAAAAGTTACTAAAGAGTTACTAAGAGTTACGTAAGAGTTACTAAGAGTTACTGAAGAGTTACTAAAAAATACTTAAGAGTTATTGAAGAGTTACTAATAGTTACTGAAGAGTTACTAAAAGTTAGAAAGTGTTACTAAAAGTTACTGAAGAGTTACTAAAGATTTACTGAAGAGGTACTGAAGACTTACTGAAGAGTTACAAAAGAGTTACTGAAAAGTTACTAAGAGTTACTCAAGAGTTACTAAGAGTTACTAAAGATTTACTGAAGAGTTACTAAAGAGTTATTGAAGAGTTACTAAAAGTGACTAAGAGTTACTGAAAAGTTACTGAAAAGTTACTGAAGAGTTAAGAAAGAGTTACTGAATAGTTACTAAAAGTTACTAAAATTTACTCAAGAGTTATTAAGAGTTACTGAAGAGTTACTGAAAAGTTACTAAGAGTTATTGAAGAGTTTCAGAATTGTTACTAAAAGTTACTAAAGAGTTACTAAGAGTTACTGAAGAGTTACTAAAAGTTACTAAAAATTACTATGAAATAATCAAGAGTTACTAAAGAGTTACTAAGAGTTACTCAAGAGTTACTAAGAGCTACTGAAGAGTTACTAAGAATTACTGAAGAGTTACTAAGATTTACTAAAGATTTACTAAGAGTTACTAAAAGTTACTAAGAGTTACTAAAGAGCTACCTGAAAAGTTACTATAAGTTGCTAAAGAGTTACTAAGAGTACTGAAGAGTTACTAAAAGTTACTCAAGCGTTACTCAAGAGTTACTAAAGAGGTACTAAGAGTTACTGAAGAGTGACTAAAAGTTACTAAAAGTAAATAAGAGTTTCTAAAAAGTTACTAAAGAGTTAATGAAGAGCTGCTAAAAAGTTACTAAGAGTTACTAAAAGGTTACTCAAGACTTACTGAAGAGCTGCTAAAGAGTTACTACGAGTTACTGAAGTGTTACTAAAGATTTACTGAAGAGTTACTAAAGAGCTATGGAAGAGTTACTAAAAGTTACTAAAGAGTTACTCAATAGTTGCTAAAAGTTACTGAAGAGTTACTAAGAGTTACTAAAGAGTTATTGAAGAGTTACTAAAAGTTACTAAGAGTTACTCAAGAGTTACTAAAAGTTACTAAGAGTTACTAAAGAGTTACGAAGAGTTACTCTAGAGTTACTAAGAGTTACTCTAGAGTTACTAAGAGTTACTGAAGAATTACTGAAAAGTTACTAAAAGTTACTAAAAGGTACTAAGAGTTACTCAAGATTTACTAAAGAGTTACTAAGAGTTACTAAAGAGTTACTATAAGTTACTAAAAAGTTACTAAAGAGTTACTAACTAGTTACTAAAGAGTTACTAAATAGTTACTAAAGAGTTACTAAGAGTTACTGAAGAGTTACTTAAGAGTTCTTAAGAGTTATTGAAGAGTTACTGAAAAGTTACTAAAACATACTGAAGAGTTACTAAGAGTTACTGAAGAGTTACTAAAAGTTACTAAAATTTATTAAGAGTTACTAAAAGTTACTAAAGATTTACAAAAGAGATGTTAAAGAATTACTGAAGAGTTACTAAGAGTTACTGAATATTTACGAAGAGTCACTAAAAGTTACTAAGAGTTACTAAAGAGTAACTGAAAAGTTACTAAAAGTTACTGAAGAGTTACAAAATAGTTACTGAAGAGTTACTAAAAGTTACTGGAGAGTTACTGAAGAGTGACTAAAAGTTAATAAGAGTTACTAAAAAGTTACTAAAGAGTTACTGAAGAGCTGCTAAAGAGTTGCTGAAGAGTTATTGAAGAGTTACTAAAAGTTACTCAAAGTTACTAAGAGTTACTAAAGAGTTATTGAAGAGTTACTGAAGAGTTACTCAAAGTTACTAAGAGTTACTAAAGAGTTATTGAAGAGTTACTGAAGAGTTACTAAAAGTTACTAAGAATTACTCAAGAGTTACTAAAAGTTACTGAAGAGTTAATGAAAAGTTACTGAAAAGTTACTGAAGAGTTACTAAAGTGTTACTTATAGTTACTAAAGAGTTACTAAGAATTACTAAAGAGTTACTGAAGAGTTAGTAGGAGTTACTGAAGAGTTACAAAGAGTTATTAAAGAGTTACTGAAAATTTACTAAAAGTTACTAAAGAGTTACTAAGAGTTACTAAAGAGTGACTAAAAGTTACTAAAAGTAAATAAGAGTTACAAAAAATTTACAAAAGAGTTTTTGAAGAGCTTCTAAAGAGTTACAAAGAGTTACTAAAAGGTTACTCAAGAGTTACTGAAGAGTTGCTAAAGAGTTACTAAAAGTTAATAAAAGTTAATAAGAGTTCCTAAAGAGTTATAGAAAAGTTACTAAAAGTTATTGAAGAGTTACTAATATTTACTGAATAGTTACTGAAGAGTTCCTAAAAGTTACAAAAAGTAACTAAGAGTTACTCAATAGATACTAAAAGTAACTGAAAAGATACTGAAGAGTTACTAAAAGTTACTAAAAGTTACTAAGACTTACTAAAGAGTTACTGAAGAGTTACTAAAAGTTACTAAGAGTTACTGAAGAGTTACTCAAAGTTACTAAGAGTTACTAAAGAGTTATTGAAGAGTTACTGAAGAGTTACTAAAAGTTACTAAAAGTTACTGGAGAGTTACTGAAGAGTGACTAAAAGTTAATAAGAGTTACTAAAAAGTTACTAAAGAGTTACTGAAGAGCTGCTAAAGAGTTGCTGAAGAGTTATTGAAGAGTTACTATAAGTTACTCAAAGTTACTAAGAGTTACTAAAGAGTTATTGAAGAGTTACTGAAGAGTTACTCAAAGTTACTAAGAGTTACTAAAGATTTATTGAAGAGTTACTGAAGAGTTACTAAAAGTTACTAAGAATTACTCAAGAGTTACTAAAAGTTACTGAAGAGTTAATGAAAAGTTACTGAAAAGTTACTGAAGAGTTACTAAAGTGTTACTTATAGTTACTAAAGAGTTACTAAGAGTTACTAAAGACTTACTGAAGAGTTACTAGGAGTTACTGAAGAGTTACAAAGATTTACTGAATAGTTACTGAAGAGTTACTAAGATTTACTGAATAGTTACTGAAGAGTTACTAAAAGTTACTAAAAGTAACTAAGAGTTACTCAATAGATACTAAAAGTAACTGAAAAGTTATTGAAGAGTTACTAAAAGTTACTAAGAGTTACTAAAGAGTTACTGAAGAGTTACTAAAAGTTACTAAGAGTTACTCAAGAGTTACTAAAGAGTTACTAAGAGTTACTCTAGAGTTACTAAGAGCTACTGAAAAGTTACTAAAAGTTACTAAAGAGTTACTAATAGTTATTGAAGAGTTACTAAGAGTTATTGAAGAGTTACTGAAAAGTTACTAAAACTTACTAAAGAGTTACTAAGAGTTACTGAAGAGTTACTAAAAGTTACTAAAATTTATTAAGAGTTAATATAAGGTTACTAAAGAGTTACAAAAGAAATGCTAAAGAATTATTGAAGAGTTACTAAAAGTTACTACAAATTACAAAGAGTTACTAAAGAGTTACTGAAAAGTTACTAAAAGTTACTGAAGAGTTACTAAGAGTTACTGAAGAGTTACTAAAAGTTACTAAAAGTTACCAAGAGTTACTTAAGAGTTACTCAAGAGTTACTAAGAGTTGATGAAGAGTTACTTAAAAGTTACTAAAAGTTACTAAAGATTTACTTAGAGTTACTGAAGAGTTACTAAGAGTTACTGAAGAGTTACTAAGAGTTATTGAAGAGTTACTGAAAAGTTACTAAAGAGTTACTGTGAAGTTACTGAAGAGTTACTAAGAGTTACTGAAGAGTTACTAAAAGTTACTAAGAGTTACTAAAGAGTTACTGAGAAGTTACTAAAAGTTACTGAAGAGTTAATGAAGAGTTACTAAGAATTACTAAAGAGTTACTGAAAAGTTACTAAGAGTTTCTAAAGAGTTACTAAGAGTTATTGAAGAGTTGCTAAAAGTTACTAAGAGTTACTGAAAGGTTACTAAAGTGTTACTGAAGAGCTGCTAAAGAGTTACTGAAGAGTTACTAAGAGTTACTGAAGAGTTACTAAGAGTTACTTATGAGTTACTGAAGAGTTACTAAAAGTTACTAAAAGTTACTAAGAGTTACTCAAGAGTTACTAAAAGTTAGTAAGAGGTACTCAAGAGTTACTAAAGAATTACTGAAGAGTTACTGAAGACTTACTAAAATTTACTAAAAGTTACTAAGAGTTACTCAAGAGTTACTAAGAGTTACTAAAGATTTACTGAAGAGTTACTAAAGAGTTACAGAAGAGTTACTAAAACTGACTAAGAGTTACTGAAAAGTTACTGAATAGTTACTGAAGAGTTACTAAAAAGTTACTGAAGAGTTACTAAGAGTTACTAAAGAGTTACTATGAGTTACTGAAAAGATACTAAAAGTTACTTAAGAGTTCCTAAGAGTTACTGAAGAGTTACTAAAATGTTAATAAAGAGTTACTGAAAAGTTACTAAAATATACTAAAGAGTTACTAAAGAGCTACTAAGAGTTACTGAAGAGTTACTAAGAGTTATTAATAGCCACTGAAGAGTTACTGAAGAGTTACTAAATGTACTGAAGAGTTAGTAAGAGTTACTAAAGTGCTACTAAAAGTTACTAAAGAGTTACTAAAGAGGTACTAAGAGTTACTAAAGATTTACTGAAGAGTTACTAAAGAGTTACTGAATAGTTACTAAAAGTTACTAAGAGTTGGTAAAGAGTTACTCAAAAGTAACTAAAAGTTACTGACGAGATATTAAGAGTTACTGAAGAGTTACTAAGAGTTACTCAAGAGTTACTAAAAGTTACTAAGAGTTACTCAAGATTTACTAGAGAGTTACTAAGAGTTACTCTATAGTTACTAAGATTTACTGAAGAGTTACTATAAGTTACTAAAGAGTTACTAAAGAGTTACTGAAGAGTTACTGAAGAGTTACTAAGAGTTATTGAAGAGTTACTGAAAAGTTACTGAACCTTACTGAAGAGTTACTAAGAGTTACTGAAGAATTACTAAAAGTTACTAAATTTATTAAAAGTTACTAAAAGGTTACTAAAGAGTTACAAAAGAGATGCTAAAGAATTGCTGAAGAGTTACTAAGAGTTACTGAAGATTTACTAAGAGTTACTAAAGAATTATTAAGAGTTACTGAAGAGTTACTAAAGGTTACTAAAAGTTATTAAGATTTACTAAAGAGTTATTGAAAAGTTACTAAAAGTTACTGAAGAGTTACTAAAAGTTACTGGAGAGTTACTGAAGAGGGACTAAAAGTTAATAATAGTTCTAAAAAGTTACTAAAGAGTTACTGAAGAGCTACTAAAGAGTTACTGAAGAGTTACTGAAGAGTTTCTAAAAGTTACTCAAAGTTACTAAGAGTTACTAAAGAGTTACTGAAGAGTTATTAAGAATTATTGAAGAGTTACTGAAGAGTTACGAAAAGTCAATAAAAGTTACTAAGATTTACTCAAGAGTTACTAAAAGTTACTGAAGAGTTACTGAAAAATTACTGAAAAGTTACTGAAGAGTTACTAAAGAGTTACTTAGAGTTCCTGAAGAGTTACTAAGAGTTACTGAAGAGTTACTGAAGAGTTACTAAAAGGTTACTCAAGAGTTATTTAAGAGCTGCTAAAGAGTTACTAAGAGTTACTGAACTGTTACTAAGAGTTACTGAAGAGTTACTAAGAGTTACTGAAGAGTTACAAAGAGTTACTAAGAGTTACTGAGGACTTACTAAAAGTTACTAAAAGTTACTAAGAGTTACTCAAAAGTTACTAAAGAGTTATTAAGAGTTACTGAAGAGTTACTAAAATTTACTGAAGAGTTATTGAAGAGTTACTAAGAGTTACTAATAGTTACTGAAGAGTTACTAAAAGTTACTAAAGTGTTACTAAAAGTTACTGAAAAGTTGCTGAAGAGTTACTAAAAGTTACTAAAGATTTCCTGAAGAGTTACTGAAGACTTCCTAAAATTTACTAAAAGTTACTAAGAGTAACTCAAAAGTTACTAAGAGGTAGTAAAGATTTATTGAAGAGTTACTAAAGAGTTACTGAAGTGTTACTAAAGGTGACTAAGAGTTACTGAAAAGTTACTGAAGAGTTACGAAAGAGTTACTGAATAGTTACTAAAAGTTACTAAAAGTTACTAAACGTTACTCAAGAGTTACTAAAAGTTACTCAAGAGTTACTAAGAGTTACTGAAGAGTTACTAAAAAGTTACTAAGAGTTATTAAAGAGTTATAGAATTGTTACTAAAAGTTACTAAAGAGTTACTAAGAGTTACTGAAGAGTTACTAAAGAATTACTAAAAGTTACTAAAAATTACTAAAAAATACTAAAGAGTTAGTAAAGAGTTACTGAAGAGTTACTAATAGTTACTGAAGAGTTACTAAGAATTACTAAAGATTTTCTAAGAGTTACTGAAGAGTTACTCAAGAGTTACTAAAAGTTACTAGGTGTTATTAAAGAGTTACTGAAAAGTTACTAAAAGTTGCTAAAAAGTTACTAAGAGTACTGAAGAGTTACTAAAAGTTACTGAAGAGTTACTCAAAAGTTACTAAAGAGTTACTAAGAGTTACTGAAGAGTTACTGAAGAGTGACTAAAAGTTACTAAAAGTAAATAAGAGTTACTAAAAAGTTACTAAAGAGTTAATGAAGAGCTGTTAAAGAGTTACTAAGAGTTACTAAAAGGTTACTCAAGAGTTACTGAAGAGCTGCTAAAGAGTTACTAAGAGTTACTGAAGAGTTACTCAAGAGATACAAAAAGTTACTTAGAGTTCCTAAAGAGTTAATGAAAAGTTACTAAAAGTTACTAAAGAGTTACTAAGATTTACTGAATAGTTACTATAAGTTACTAACAGTAACTAAGAGTTACACCAAAGTTACTAAAAGTGACTAAGAGTTAGTCAAGAGATACTAAAGAGTTACTAACAGTTACTGAAGAGTTATTGAGGAGTTACTAAAAAGTTACTGAAGAGTTACTATGAGTTACTGAAAAGTTACTAAAAGTTACTCAACATTTACTAAGAGTTACTGAAGAATTACTAAGAGTTACTGAAGAGTTACTAAAAGTTACTAAGAGTTACTAAAATGTTACTAAAGAGTTACGGAAGAGCTGCTAAAGAGTTACTGAAGAGTTATTAAGAGTTACTAAAATATACTGAAGAGTTACTAAAATATACTGAAGAGTTACTGAAGAGTTACTAAAGAGTTACTGAAATTTACTGAAGAGTTACTAAGAGTTACTAATAGTTATTGAAGAGTTACTGAAGAGTTACTAAATGTACTGAAGAGTTCCTAAATTGTTACTAAAAGTTATAGAAGAGTTACTAAAGATTTACTGAAGAGTTACTAAAAAGCTACTAAAGAGTTACTAAAAGTTACTAAGAGTTACTAAATAGTTACTCAAAAGTTACTAAAGAGTTACTAAGAGTTACTGAAGAGTTACTAAAAGTTTCTAAGAGTTACTAAAAGTTACTCTAGAGTTACTGAAGAGTTACTGAAAAGTTACTAAAGAGTTACTTAAGAGTTACTAAAGAGTTACTAAGAGTTACTAAAGAGTTACTGAAGAGTTACTGAATAGTTACTAAAAGTTATTAAGTGTTACTAAAAGGTTACTTAAGAGTTACAAAAGAGATGCTAAAGAATTACTGAAGAGTTACTAAGAGTTACTGAAGATTTACTAAGAGTTACTAAAGAATTACTAAGAGTTACTGAAGAGTTACTAAAAGTTACTAAGAGTTACTGAAAAGTTACTAAAAGTTACTAAAGAGTTACTAAGAGTTACTGAAGAGTTACTGAAGATTTACTAAGAGTAACTGAACAGTTACTAAATGTTACTGGAGAGTTATTGAAGAGTGACTAAAAGTTATAATAAGAGTTCTAAAAGGTTACTAAAGAGTTACTGAAGAGTTACTAAAAGTTACTCAAAGTTACTAAGAGTTACTAAAGAGTTAGTAAGAGTTATTGAAGAGTAACTAAAAATTTACTAAAAGTTACTAAGAGTAACTCAAGATTTACTAAAAGTTACTGAAAAGTTACTAAAAAATTACTGAAAAGTTACTGAAGAGTTACTAAAGAGTTACTTAGAGTTACTGAAGACTTACTGAAGAGTTACTAAGGGTTACTGAAGAGTTACTGAAGAGTTACTAAGAGTTACTAAAAGGTTACTCAAGAGTTATTTATGACCTGCTAAAGAGTTACTAAGAGTTACTGAAGTGTTACTAAGAGTTACTAAAAGTTACTAAGAATTACTCAAAAGTTACTAAAGAGTTACTAAGAGTTACTGAAGAGTTACTGAAGAGTTACTAAACATTACTGAAGAGTTATTGAAGAGTTACTAATAGTTACTGAAGAGTTACTAAAAGTTAGAAAGTGTTACTAAAAGTTACTGAAGAGTTACTAAGAGTTACTAAAGATTTACTGAAGAGGTACTGAAGACTTACTGAAAAGTTACAAAAGAGTTACTGAAAAGTTACTAAGAGTTACTCAAGAGTTATTAAGAGTTACTAAAGATTTATTGAAGAGTTACTAAAGAGTTATTGAAGAGTTACTAAAAGTGACTAAGAGTTACTGTAAAGTTACTAAAAGTTACTGAAGAGTTAAGAAAGAGTTATTGAATAGTTACTAAAAGTTACTCAAGAGTTATTAAGAGTTACTGAAAAGTTACTAAGAGTTATTGAAGAGTTATAGAATTGTTACTAAAAGTTACTGAAGAGTTACTAAGAGTTACTGAAGAGTTACTAAAAGTTACTAAAAATTACTAAGAAATACTCGAGAGTTACTAAAGAGTTACTAAGAGTTACTCAAGAGTTACTAAGAGTTACTAAGAGTTACTGAAGAGTTACTAAGAGTTACTAAAGATTTACTAAGAGTTACTGAAGAGTTACTAAGAGTTACTGAAGAGTTACTAAGAGTTACTAAAGATTTACTAAGAGTTACTAAAAGTTACTAAGAGTTACTAAAGAGCTACTGAAAAGTTACTATAAGTTGCTAAAGAGTTACTAAGAGTACTGAAGAGTTACTAAGAGTTACTCAAGAGTTACTAAAAAGGTACTAAGAGTTACTGAAGAGTAACTAAAAGTTACTAAAAGTAAATAAGAGTTACTAAAAAGTTACTAAAGAGTTAATGAAGATTTGCTAAAAAGTTACTAAGAGTTACTAAAAGGTTACTCAAGAGTTACTGAAGAGCTGCTAAAGAGTTACTAAGAGTTACTGAAGAGTTACTAAAGATTTACTGAAGAGTTACTAAAGAGCTACTGAAGAGTTACTAAAAGTTACTAAAGAGTTACTCAATAGTT